GGTGCCATATGTTGTTGACCACGCCGAAAAAGTGATCCAGCAGAACACTGATGCTCTAAGGTTTTTCAGAAGGTTTCTGGAAAACCTTAAGCCAATGCCCAGCTCACATTCACCTTTTTCGTCTTCGATTATGCTTTATGAGCGGTCCTGAGCGCTTTCTGAAAATTTCCTTGAGTCAGCATGAGATTTGATCGAGATATAAGACTTTTAATTTTTGCTAGTAACAGGCGAAAAATCGGTTTTTGACAACAATGCCTCTGGCCAAGTTATATTCATTTCTACACAAAAACAAATGTTTCTACTATGCTTAGCGTAGTCGATTACCTATAGTCCATGGCATTTTGAGATTTCCAGATATGTCTGCTCGGAGATAGACACGTGCTCGGGGAAAGCGAGCCCTGCCCGAACAACGATAGCTAGAGAGCTGGGACTTGCATAATTTTGTAGAGTAACGTCCGGATTATCTACGCATGTAAAAAAATTACTAACATTGTATGTTAGTTTTCTGAGAACGGAGCTGGTTTTCCAAAGATTCTCTAGAAATCCGATCTCTAAAAAGTTGTTTCCGCTTGTGAAAAGTTCTGCTCAAGTCTTGACTATTGAACAGCGAAAATCACAGGTGTCTATCTCATTCCTATCAAAAGTTATTCAAAAAATGCCCACCCGCACTGTATTTTGGGATGGATAGTAGTTACTAAATACAAAATAGCTCGTATCATTTTTCGAGGAGATATATGAAACTTACATGCAATGACTGTTCCGCAACTTCTTTCTTTGATCAATCAACATAATAATAAACGCTAGAAACATCGATATACCGATAACTTTGTTCAAATCTTTATCTTCCCATCCATCCCAAAAATCGCTTACAAACAATTTTATCCACGCACAATTATTCGTATTTTTTAAACTATTCAATCCTAAAGTCAAATGGGTAAAAAAATTTTGACGAAATATTAAATCATCCTGTAATATAAGTACATATTTATATTGAGAATTACAAATAAATAACGATGTTAAATAGTCTAAATTTTCCGTTCTAATCCATTCATCATGTTCAGATAAGTGTAATGTATTTTTATTAGAATACCATTTTTCGATTAGTGTTGAATTTAATTGTGAATAATTAAAAACATTAAAATAAGGAATATGCGTATTTGATAATTGTTGAGCATATTTATGTATAGATGATGGTCGTGCCGTATTATAAACTATAATCTCTCTTGTTTGTCTATCAACTTCGTTCATCGAACTGACTAATGATGCAATTGTCTGATGAAGTGTTGGATGTTCTAGACGAGGTGAAGTAATTAATACTGTACATATATCAAATTTAATATTTGATTTTCTTTTATAATATGTATCATTTCGAGAATATTTTTCAATTAATTTATCCCAAAAAATTTGAGCTAACTTTAATTGTGATTTCATTTGCGTATGTAATTCAGTTTCATTTGTTCGATATTTATAATACCATGTGTAACGATAATATTTTAAATGTAAAAACGCAAACAAAAACCAGAGTAATAGACAAATAAATAGACGACTAGATAAACGATAAATGAGTGTTTTAATTTCAAGTTCAATATGCAAACATTTTACATATTTTATCAATATTTTGAACATATATTGTGGACGTAACGGACATATATGCATTTGTAAAATGATTGTCACTTCGAACATGTGCTTTATTGTAATTCATATCATCTGAAAAAAATATATTCACCTTCTAACTAGTTGTATAGAAAAGAAAAATATGTGCTCAACACTATGATGTTTTGCATCTGCTGCTTTAGTTTTTAAATAGACAAAAAAAAGAGATCTTTTACGAACTAAAAAATAGGAAAAGAACACAGACGTTACACAACTTTATTTCTATACGTTATCTCATTCTTTTTCATTTATATATCTACAGAAAGATTAGTTTTTCATCCAAGTTAAAAATAAAGAATTTTTTTTTATTCTTAATAAAGACTGTGTATATATGTGGACTATATACTCAACTAAAGTTGATAAAATAAATTCTCTTTTCTTTTTTTCTGATGTTTTATTACGTTAGCTGACAGAAAGGAAAAAACAATTTTATGATAGATCGTCGTTTATACTTTTCCATATTTACTATTGTCTTTCTGTAGAATGTGAAAAACACGCATGGAGATACATGGGTGAAATGTAGAATCAGAATGCATAAGAATAAAAAACGAATAACTTTTTCTGTTTTTTAAGCTCCCCCGCCCTATATAAGAAATACGAAATTTTATGTAATAAAGTCAGTATTCAGATAAGCACATTATTAGATACCCCCCCCCCTCCAAGTAGAAGGTCATCTAGGCACAACAGAATCAGGCGTCACTAGAAGGCACTTTTTTTCGTGAAAAATTGCTCTATATAGAATGTTTTTCAAAAATTTTTGCTCCAGAGTGACCTTCTAATATGGGATGGCCTTTTGTTCTGAGAGGGGGGAGGAGGTTTAGGTCAAGGTGTCTGCTATCTGAATCCATGACAGTAAGACATTTATCTAAGATTTTTGCAAGTTTTTCAAACAGCTTTTCAGAATAGCGACAAATTAGCGTATGTTTGGTTTTTAGGTGTTTGATATCGGTTTACATTAGAAGTCGGCAAGGTCTTTGTCCTACGTTACAGTGCATCTGCTATAGTGACAGTCTACACTACGTTGCATAAAAACGGCTGTTAAGTGGCGGCATCGGCATATATCTCATCAACCACTGTTTGTCAGAGTAATTTGGCTTTTCTAACAAAATCTTTCACCTTTCATCATGAATTTCAGCATTTTATCTAATGAATGTGAGTACCACACAGGTTTGAAGTGCATCCATGTCACTATAACAGATGCACTGTAATGTAGGACAAAGACTATCCTTGCCTACTTCTAATGTAAACCGATATCAAAGAACTAAAAGCCAAGTATACACTAAGTTGTTTGTTATAAAGCGGTTATTTACGGTTACGGTTAATGGTTAATAACCGTAACTGTTGCATGTCTACCACTAACTGTGTGGTATCTATACGCAATCAAGAGAAAAAGTAGCTCTAAAGTGATTAATCTGTAGAGCGCACATTTCCAGAATGAGATGTCTCGCAAATCTAGACAATGTTCAAACCAAAAGTAATAAGAACTTCCTAAAGAATAAGAATAAGAAGTCCTAAAAAATGCATTGTACAACAAGTTCTGGCTAACTTTGTTTTCGAACATATGTAGTTAGTACAATGAGTTTGCCAACGTTTTCCGAAGTACAATACACTAAAACGTTCATTGCTGTTCGCTCGAATATAAGGTCGATACGCAAAAGTGGGCAACTCTTCCTAGATTGGTCTATACCATTTCGAAAAATCCTTGATTTTTCTGGTAAGATCCGATTTCCTCGGTCTAGGAGCACTTGTATTAGACAGTGAAGTGGTGTTCGGAATCAGCAAGAAACTGAATCGAATGAAGCTATTCTGGACAAAAAATTTTCTGTTAAAAGTTTGCCAGGAAGGCGTTTTTCGATTTTTTCACGAAAAAAAAATTTTTTACTTCTGTTGTCATTCATTGTATCAAAAGGAATCTGTCATCCGCAACGACCTTAAACTAGGGTGTCGATGTAAGGTTATGTAAATTCTGAAAGAAGTTGTTAATGATAGAGACGGCTTTTGATGTGCCTTGGTTTTGTATAGAAATTTGATGATGAGGGTATGCTAGACAGGATTGGTTCAGCAGGTTTCACTTTGATCATTCCTCTCTGGCGGAAATGAATTTTTTCCGACGCCACACTTTCAAACTTTTGTACTCTTTGGACCTCCATTCTGTGTGACAATGGTGTAGCGCAGATGGTCGATGATGTTTGAAATTCCTCCTTACTCTTTATTTAGAGCAAGATCCCAAGATGTTAAGGGAAGGCCACCAGAATCTTGGACCTGTCACATACAGCCAAACTTGAAATCTGAGTCGTTTTTCTTTGATGTGATCAGATCTTCGCAAGTCACAATAATTAATAACTTTACATAAGCAGAGACGGGGAAACAAATTGGAGCTATAGAAAACGCTATATTTTTTCGACTGTCATTGAGAAGAACATCTCAAAAACGTTTTTTCCCTGTCAGTTATTGCAGGGTGGCAAAATATCCGGTTTATGTATAAAGTTGAAAATTCTACTAAATATAAATGTCTCTTTTCTTTTCACACTTTTCCCTACTTTCTTCTCTTGTTTCTGTATTTCTTCTCCAGGTCGTTCTGTTGTACCCTCCCACTTTATAAGATTTTCCCCTAAGCTTTCACCTTCTTATCACAGTAGTTCTCGAAGATCCAAAGATCGAATATCGAAGATGTAAAGATTTAAAGACGGAAGATCAAAGATGTAGAGATTGAAAGGTGGAAGATGTAAAGATGGAGGTCGAAGACTAATGCATACGTGTACATTAACGTGTTGTTGAAGAACAAGAACTCAGTAAACTCTCTTTTAGTGTCCTCTTCTCTCTTGTCTTCCCTTTTTCCATCTTCTGTACGACTAGTATGAATTTTTCTTTGTCATGTATGTACATTCTATTCTTCTCGCAACAGAGACAACTGTCCACTGTATAGTTGTAGAACTATACAACTACCACTGTGATCATCTTTGCAATAGTCCAATGGTGCTGACTTCACTCTCGCCCTTCCTAGGGCGAAAACTGCTTGGAAAGTATGACGGGATATTTCTAACTTCGATTCTTAAAAAAAGAGTTTTTTAAAGTATATATATGGCAAGAACTGAAAGTTTCTCTCTCTTCTGTCACAAGCTAGTTCTTTCACGGTATTTGCATCCATGTTATTTTGCATAGTTTCCTGAACGCCACATAATTCAGACACCAATTTTTTCCGTACGATAAGTACGTATTTCTCATTTTCACACATATACGTTCTATTCTTTCTCGCAAAAAGGGCGGCCATTAAGATTAAGAATTTTAGAGTTTAAAGCACTTTGACATTTTTTTCTCATGCCTCTTGTCTCTTATCTTCTTCTTCTCAACGTTGAATAAATATATATAGCTATATACATCTTCCATCTTTACATCTAATTCAGGTCGAAATAAAAATCTTTCATTTTCATCATCCTTTCTCTCTTCTCTGTTCTCTCTCTGGTTACGGTTTCTCTATTTCTAGCATCATAGATTTGAGAGATTTACTAGATTGTTGAAGGAATGATAAAATAGATTCAACTAGATGGATTAACTTTACACTACATGTATACATTCTGCCACGTATGCTAGTATGAATAACCATCAAACAGACGATTATAGTGAGTTTTTAACAGACATTTTATACGAAGTTTTTAAACCGAAGATTTTGATGATTTTTGTATTAGTAGGCGATTTCAACGTACACTATCAAGGCTGTTGTAATACATATGTTTCTACGATTTCAGGCAAAAAATTCTTTCAGTTCTGAACAAAGTAAATAATAAACTTTAGATAATTAGTCAGAGAGCCTATGCATAGCAGTGATGGTCAGATCAGAACGGCTCTTGACCTTATTTTAATGATACCTGAGAAGCTCTGGTACTTTTTCTTATGTACTATTAGGCATCATGGCCATCCACTACTATTTATTAAAGGCAAGGAGTCTACCGTTTTGGAAAATAATAATCTCGATGAAAAAAACCAAGAGAAGTTAAGAGTTGCGGAGACGGATCCACTAACTAACGGCCGATGCGTTATCGATTTATCGATCCAGTTTCAACTCTGGCCTGAATGGCGTTCTAAATCATTAAATTCCTGAACAATCAGTATAATATCGTTGTCAACATAATTCTTAAATTACTAGAACAAATTCTTAGCTATTGGTACAAGATAAGAATTAAAGTCGTTGTTATTATTTGATAAAATTCGTAATATGATTCTGCTACGTAAACTTGAAACGACAGCAGATTCATGATCAATATTATTAACGGTTGATGATACTGCTGGCTGATTTAAACGTATAAGACTATTTTAGTGCTTCTTCCGTTATTTGCCATATCAACTGTATATAGACAATTTAACAAAAACTGTAAATTATTTCAGACATGGAAAGAAAATATATGTGCTCTTGATGAAAAACGAGAGATGAATGAAAAAAAGTTCTTTTCGAAAGTAGTTTTCAAGTATTTGTGAAAAAATATAGTGCCCTTTATATATAAAGGGTGACGCAAAAGTTCTGTCTCATTTAGTATTTTCTTAATATCTCGGTCAAGATTGATTCCTAAGTTTCAATCTTTTTTTAAAAGAAACCTCATTCAATTCTCTACAAAAAACATACTGAACGTTTCTTTATATAGACTACTACAAGAATAAAAAAATATACAGGAAATACGGGAAAGTATCGATTACTTTCAAACCAAAGCGTTATCAAAAAATATTTACTTTGAACATGATCTATGTATGCATCAAAGTGGAATCGAAATGTATTTTCTAGTGCTCCAGAATGTCAGCTTTCGTTTCTTGTATGATAAGTTCGCTACAAACCTTTTTTAATGTCGCAAACGAAGATTTTACTAAAGGTAAAAGAAAAAAGGGAAAATTTGATTTCTTCGGCTTGATAAAGGAAACAAAACGGGGCTATTTTACTTTCTCTGCTCGGATGTAATAGAAGAATTATATTGCTTTTAGATAAACCAGATCTTAAATCATAATATGTGGTTTGAACCAAATCACACAAATTTTCCTTAGCGCTTCAAAACTGCGGTTCGAAACTGATGATTTGGGGCAAAATCGCTAAAAGAAAAAAATCCTCCTGCGACTGCTTGAGCCTATGAAGAGTGTTAAATATAGCCAGTTGATAGAGCTTTTCGAGAACTTCAAAATGCCCATTTTCTCTCCCTTCATATCTCAAAAACAAATGTAAGGGACTGAAATTGAAAAATCTGTTATTTTAGTTTGAAAGTAATCGATATTGAAGCTTTCCGGTATTTTCTCTGTATTTTTGTATTTTTATAGTATATGAAGAAATGTTCAATATGTTTTATGTAGAGAAGTGAATGAGGTTTCTTTTATAAGAAGATTGAGACTAGGGGATCAGCCTTGACCGAATTCTGAATAAGACAGAACTTCTGGGCCATCTTTTTTATAAAGCTTACGAGGAAACCATTCCAACTGTCCTATTGCTTTTTTCATGAAACCTAGTGGACAATAGGTAATCGAGTGTGCTGAATCCGAATATCATAGTGGTTTGGACGTCTATGCCTCCAGAGATCGGTTTTGCAGAAACTCTAAAAGTTAACCAAAACGTTTCTTAATGAGGCATGATTGTAGATGGCACATTTCTGATTAAAATGAGACATCCTCAGCTCTACACAACCTTTCTTTGCAAAGTTATAGAATTTACAAGAAAAGCCCTAAATGTTCATTGTCACCTCAAAGCTATAGAAATAAGAAAGTAATTTAGGACTTTTCTTATAAATTTTCTAACTTTCCAAAGAAAGGTCGTGTAGAGCTGGGAGATGTCTCATTTTAATCAGAAATGTGCGATCTACAATCATGTCTCATTAAGAAAGGCTTTGATTATCTTTTAGAGTTTCTGAAAAACTGGTTTTCCAGAAAAACGGTTTCTAAAGACCTAGACGCCCAAACCAGTATGATATTCGAATTCAGCACACTCGATTACCTATTGTCCACTAGGTTTCGTGAAAAAAGCGATCGAACAGTTGGAGTGGTTTCCTCGTTAGAAAAATCAAAACGACATTTACAATTTTGTTAACCTTTCTGAACTTGGTTACCTTCGGCAGAACTCTACAGGAAAACTGTTTTCTGCTTCTGTTTTTTGTTGAGAAAATCAACTTACGAAGAACTAGAATGAACTGTAAAATTTCATTTTCATTATATGACAAAGAATTAAAATGCGAAGAACGCGATTTTATATTGGGTAACGATAACCATATTGCATAAGAAGCATTTTATACAAAAAAAAGTTTGACTATTAAATGAAAAAGGGATGAAATGAGATACCATGTGTGGACATATTATATACAAGTACATACATAATTATCGATGTTTTTGTTTTTCTATAATGCTGAACGGAATCTATCATTAAGAAATGTACTTTTCTGCATCTCTCTTGACATAACGAAAGTGTTGTGTCAAATTGTTCGATATGTTGACATTATCCGTGTTCTTTTTACTAAAAAATGAGATTATAATTGAGTACATTTCCATCGATTAATCTACTACACTGACTAATGATTCATTGGTTAACAACGCATTTTCAATCCATTTCAAGTGTGGTGCGTTTGTTGCAAAAAACGTAATAATAAGTGCTGTAAAAATTACTACGATAAGAAATATAGAAACGTATCTTAATTGTCGAGAAATAGCAGCATATTCAGACAGCACGATGCCTAATAATAATCCTACTAATGCACTCGCCACATGAGCTTCGTGATTAATTTGATAGAAAAAACTCATCACGATATAGGGAATATTGAGTACACTGAAATAGAAGAGAATTTCAATGAGAATTCGAAGACGATTGGCCTTTGATAATGTTCCAAGACGATCGACTATGACTACTACAAGAAGACCGTAGCTGGCTCCCGATGCTCCAAGTCCAACTGAAAAAAAATAATGAATTAGTAGAATGCTCTCTTCGTTTAGCTAAATACAGTACTGGAAAAAATTATAGAGTCACTGTACTTTTGAAAGTTTTCGATGAAACTGAGTGACTAGGTCAAATCTGAATAGTAATTTTCATAGCCCTTGAAGTTCTCTATTAAATGCAGTATGCGTCAAAATTCCAGAGAAAAGGTTTTGCATAAAGTTTTCTAGAAAATTCCCTAAGTACTAGAGAATTTTGCTAAAAATATTCTCAATACAGCCATCTAAAAGAGCATAGAATTCTGAAATAAATGAAGCGTCACACAGCTCTCCACGATCTTTCGTCGCAAAGTTACAGCTATCAGAAAATCCAGAAAAATGTGCTTCTGCTTATTTATTAAGCGATTTTTAGCGTTTTTTTGGTAAATTATCCTATTTCTTTGGATTTTCTGACACCTATAACTTTGCAATGAAAGATCGTGGAGAGCTGTGTGACGCTTCATTTATTTCAGAATTTTATGCTGTTTTAGATGGCTATATTAAAAATATTTTTAGCAAAATTCTGTAGGACTTAGAACTCTCTGTAGTACTTAGGGGATTTTCCAGAAAACTTTATGCAAAACCTTTTTCTCTGGAATTTTGACGCATACTGCATTTAATAGAGAACTTCAAGGGCTATGAAAATCACTATTCAGATTTGACCTAATAACTCGGTTTCATTGAAACCTTTCAAAAGTACAGTGACTCTAAATTTTTTTCCAGTATTGTATACACACTTACGCGACTGATTAAATAGCACAGCGTGCATAAGCATGGCAGTAAATGATGAAACAAAGTAGACGATTAAAGTTTTGACGGATCCAAATTTTCGTTCAACAGTAATACCACAGAGAATAATATTCAGTGTATTAACGAGAAAATGAAGTAGATTCATATGAAGAAACATGGCGGTGATGAATCGATAGAGTTGATAAGGATAAAGAAAATGTGAACACATTGATTTAAGTAATTCATCGTAAGTACATTTTTCAGCCAAATCACACACAATAACCAATGTTCGTGTTTGATGACCAGCCGGCTTCATACATGGCACATACAAACTACCCTTCTTATTTATACCATAACGTCCTTTGTCAATTTGAGAAATAATAAATACACTAATTAGGATGACTACGACGGTTATCGTAAATATTGGCATATAAACAATATCTTTCTGCTTTGGATTAGGACGTACGGATTGTACTCCACCTGGAAATAGTTGGTCAACACGATATTTGACCATTTCTGTTTCATCATCTTCTTCTTTAGACATCATAATAAATGTTTGCTGTACTATGACAGAAAAGCAAAAGAAACGAACATCACTAGTAATAATTTAGATGTTTATGATATATGCATTATTCTTGATGACAGTCATAAATCATGAAATTTGTAGAGAAAGTATTTGTTTAATAAATGTGAACTTGTCTTTTTTTAAAAAAATTTTTCTCGTCAAAAAGGTTGTCACGAAAAGAAGCCTACTCATATAAAGAAATTTTTTTCTAAGAGAAAGAGAAACGCAGAACTGACGCAAGTAAAGGACGATGAAAAATCGAGTATCCTACATTTTCTTGTATAAGGCTTTGATAAAATCTCCGTCCTTTTCCTGCTTTGAATAGAAGTTTCTTCTCTTCTTTTCATGATCATTCAGAAAATGGATGACTGAAATATAAGAAAACATTCAAATAAAAAGTTTTTTCACAAGCAAAACCTCCGATATGAACAAAATACATTGTCACTGCCCTGCTGGTTTTATATCTCCGAGAACCTGGGCACTCGATGATTGAAAAGAAATAGTTACTTTTTACACTTAATCGATGCACCGTTTTTTTTTATAAAATTATTCACTAGAAGCGACACTTTTGAATGAAGAACGATTGTTGTCTGATAGATTCTCAATATTTGATTTTGATATAAAAACCTCACTTTTTCGTTGACAAGTGAAGGGTTCTTCACTATTCAAATTAGCGATATTTTTTTACCATATTCACTTGGATTTAAGAATACAATTTCTTTTGCCCAATATTGTTTGTGCAATGAACCGAGAGATCAACAGATGTATACTGAAAATTATTGTACAATGTTACAGTTTTCTATTATAATATTTTCTCACATAGTCTCTCTTCAAAAGTCTCAACGACGGTTATTCCATCATTTGGATATCCTATTCTCACAAACAGAAGTATATTTTGTTACATGAAATCGATTTTCATGGAATAATACCAGTCGAAAACACATCATAATCAAATATTTTCAATATTTATTACAAATACTTGACCTATAATTGATCTACAACGTGCGATTTATTAAAAATATACAACCTGCATAGTGAAGTGTAGCAGATCACATTGTTTACCTTAATACTTTTTGATGAATATCACACATACATGCTTTATATAGTTCTATTTTGCACTCGAGGAATTTTGACAGTCTTCGTTGTAAATTCAATCATAACATTGATACGTGTATTATAAAAATAGAATAATGATTTGTTTGCGATGGATTACACACAGATGAATACTATAACCAAACGTAATAAAGTGCGGGAGGGTATTCACACTTTACAGAATAAAGGCCATTAAAAAAGGAAACATTGATAGCTCTAAGATTTTCACTGTAATCACAAAATTGTTTCACCGTACCAGTATGAACCTTACAGTCTATATTTGCATAATTCAAAGGCTGTAACTGTAAGGACGATTACACAACTTCAATCGTTGTACAGAATATAGACACAGAATAGTGAATTTAGTTTCGCAGTTTACCGCAAAGCTAAGTTCATCTGTTCGAAGCTTTATTCGTACAAAAATTCATTTTGTGTTTTTCGATAGTTTTAGTTTAGAATACCATAGTGGAATATTTTTCCGGTTGTATTGTGACAGAATAACGCTTACAGAGTACTGCGGGGTAAAAGAAGTCAATTCACGAAATTTTCGTCGTAATTTCACTATTTCTTATCTGTTTTTAACTGAAAAAATTCGATATTCACCATAATGGTAGAGCCGACAATTATCTACACGCCAGTACAAAAATTTCTCGAAAATTCTCCTCGGTAAAAGGAGTCAATCCATTCAAATACATGGAGATTTTTTAAAAGCATCCTAGCTCATTAAAGATGATTGCGCATTAATTAAAAATTATATCATTGTGAAGCTCTACTCTTCCTCTATCGGACCATACGATTTTGATCTTCATATCTGCTACCTTCATTAAGCTAATTAGACGACATGAAAGCGTGTCATTTTTAAAATTTTTTATCTTTGAAGTAAAAAGAGTTGCTCGTTCATTTTAATAGGGTAAAAGGAGTCAATCCGTTGAAATCCATGGAGATTTCAACGAAGCATCTGTAGAGACTTCCCAAAATCGATTTTGATACTACCATGAGTGTAAAACTTGTTAATAATATCGTCATCTTTGACATATTCGAAAACTAGCATTTAATTGCTAAAAGAGAGAAATTTTATGATAAACTAAAATTCTAGGTAATTTTGACCATGCTCTAGTCCTAATCTAATCCATATTTTGAATTAACAACAAGTAAATTAAATAATGTGATCGCACCTTATTATGTAATACATACCTGGGAATCGAAAGGAAAAAGAGTGAAGTTTCAACCATGGAAAATGCCCGAGATATTTAAGAAATTTCGTTTTTTAAGCAATTTTTAATGCTAGTTTTCGCATATGTCAAAGATGACGATATTATTAACAAGTTTAACACTCATGATAGTATCAAAATCGATTTTGGGAAGTCTCTACAGATGCTTCGTTGAAATCTCCATGGATTTCAACGGATTGATTCCTTTTGTACTGGCGTGTAGATAATTGTCGGCTCTACCATTGTGGTGAATATCGAATTTTTTCAGTTAAAAACGGATAAGAAATAGTGAAATTACGACGAAAATTTCGTGAATTGACCACTTTTATCTCGCAGTACTCTAGACAGATAAAATAAGGAAAACAGATGTCGCATGCAGATATCTGTATGTCAGATATAAGGATACGGTTCATTCTTGGTTGAGATCACGATTTTTTCTACTCACTCTCATTTTGCGCCTACCGCCCTGTGATATTTCTTTTTGATGTTAATTTTTATGTTACACATTTTATCAAAAAAGTGATTTCAATTAACACATTCAGCACGATGTGAGCCACCGGTGGCTCACGGTATGTTCTAACGAGAAAAACGATAAAAGAACCGTTTTCTTTGCTTCTCTTCCCTAAGTAAAGAGAGACGGTCACTTCTTCACTGATTCCCTGTTCGCGAATACTTTAATTATTTTATTATGTAGAGTGATGCTTTTCATTAAAGCAATCCAGACAAAATAATTTG